ACGGTACGTACGTTACGTTACTTACGTACGTACGTACTACGTACGTACGTACGTACGTACGTACGTACGTACGTACGTACGTACGTACGTGTATACACACACACACACACACACACACACACACACACACACACACACACACACACACACACACAAACACACACTTGGTAATTCAGCTAGGTGGCAAGTGCATTTTTTCTATTTGTGCTTCTGTACATAAAGTGTGTCTGACAGTGTGGGATGATGATAGTGAGTGAAATCCCAGAACACTTCCCAGACATTAGCAGCTCAATTTAGCTGATTTTGTTTTGTTCTAACTTGTGTGTCTTCTGTTGTAGATGGGTGGTATGGAGTCGGTGATCACGGGGCTGATGGATGAGTTTAAATGCCTCCACAAGCACAGAGAGCTGTTCACCCTCTTCATTGTTGTTTCCACATTCCTCATATCCCTCTTCTGTGTTACAAATGTAAGCATTTTACCGGGCAGTCATACGAGTTAATACATAGATTTTATCATTTAAAAGATCTGTGTTTACTAATCAAAATATCTTAAAATTCATTAAAGTGAATTTTCTGAATTTAGTTTTATTTCCTGTTCGTTCTTACTTTAACAATATGATCAAGCTTGTATAATTGAATTATTTGTTCCTTTCTCTCCAGGGTGGGATGTATGTGTTCACTCTGCTGGACCACTTTGCAGCAGGAACATCGATTCTCTTTGGAGTGCTTATTGAAGCCATTGGCATCGCATGGTTTTACGGTGAGATAGATGGACAGGAGAAAAGGAGAAGGACCCATTGATTCACTATTTTCATGGCCAGCAAAGCTGATGCTATATTAAAGGTTTGATGAGAGGTTGGTGTACGTGTGCTGTGCCACAATGCAATATAGTTCTATTAGACATACGGACACTGCAGCCAGAAAGTCTGTTCCTATGAATGGTTTTGGCCTCTTCAATCTTAGTGCATGTGTCAAAGTACACTGATATACTGTTATGTTGCAATCGTAAGAGCTCAGAGAGGTTACATGGCCTGCGTTTTGAACACTGCCAGTGTTACCTCCATGTTCACTGAGCAGAAGTGAGCCTTCACATAAAGAAAATTGCAGCTGCGGAACAGGCAATTCCCATTTGTCATGGACAGGAATCAGCTGTCTAATTACTAGGTTGTAGATTGTTGTGGTAGCAATTGGGGGTGACCTCAAAGTCAATTTCTCTCCAGATGTCTACATTCTATTGACACTTGCTTTTCTACACATTTGCCATCACCTCAACAATTCATTTTCAAATGTGTCACTCTACAACACACACAAGCTATCTATCTATATATATAAATCACTGTTTATCTATTCTTGTGATAAGAGATTTTTCTGGAGTTCATGACATGTCTCCAGTGTGATTATTCACATACCTTTCAAGCACTTGTGCCTCATGAGCAAACCTCTGTATACTACATCTTAGGGCTTCAGAATTCTACCCACTTGTGTGTTGATTAGTGACATTTTCTGATTAAACCGTTAACCGTTTGGGTTGTTCTGCTTACTTAGGCACTTTGCTCTTCCCTGTTTTATGTTCAAATTGTAAGGACACTCATCGAGCACAGACTTTTGCCATGGCCAAATGCCTTATCCCAACAACAAAAAACAAGTGAAAAGTGAAACTATTGTGTGTAGCTAGCCTGATTGGATCTGCTCTGAAATGAAAGGTTCTTTCTTGGTTAGTGCCTTTCCATCAAGTGCATGAAAACTGCACCAGTAGTAATCCTGGTGAAAGAAAAACAAAACAAAAACATAACCTCCTTGGTGGAGGTAATTGATAGGTAAAGACCAACTGCTTCATCAGTAGTTAGGTTTGCATATATTTTCACCTACAACAACATCTGAAAACAAGAAAACCCTTTCATTGTGTGGAAACTAACTCACATTTTGAAACTCCAAAACAAAACATTACTAGAAAAAAACGAAAGGCTGATGAACCTGAACTTCCCATTTTAGCTTCTTATACCATGTCTAAAGAGCCTAGAGTAGAAGGACCCATAAAGGTCTAAATATTAACCAGGCCCCAGGCGGTGGCGTCAGCATATTGCCCTCCTCTGGTGGATCCCGACCTTGGCATACCAGACAAATCAAGCCTAAGGCTTCAGTGGGCCTTTCCCCCCATCCTTATAACTTTTGACAGCAACCCTTGACCCGTTGCCACTTTGGTCTTTCAGTTTGCTTTCCACTACATGCGTATATTTAACTTTGCTTAATACCTGCTCGTCAGTCTGGATATAATCCCCCGCAGTAAGACAATAAGATAAATATACAGTCAGGTTTAAGAGAGGCAAAAAGTGGTGCATTAGCTTTTCACAACTGACTCTGTAGGATGAATTTAGACACGGCAAATACTTGAATTGTGAATTATATGTTTTTTTTATTAATCTTGTCTTGATGGTCTTGATTAAAAAATGCATAGGGAACATACCGTATACAAAAGCACTTACTACCATGATTATATTATTAATATCCATTATTCAGTTTTATCCAAGGCTGCAATCAACCATGTCTTGGAAGTAATATCCATCATTTGTATGTGTTTCAGGAGTGGACAGATTCAGTGATGACATTGAGGAGATGATTGGCCATCGACCAGGCCTGTACTGGAGACTGTGCTGGAAGTTTGTCAGCCCCTGCTTCCTCCTGGTAAGTCTGTGCACATACTAGTTTTATAAGGAAATAATCGATTAAGAATGAACTTAAAACAATATAAATGTTGGTTCACTTGTTGCGATTTTCGCCAAACCAGAAGACAAGTTGAAAAGAGATAGGATGAAAATATTGGGACCGTGAATTATTACCTTCTCCAATATATACAGTATATCAGTCAGGTCCATATGTTTCAGGTTATGCTAGTATTCTTGCAATGTATTTCAATGTTTTCACAAAGTGATTCACAGTTAAAACAAAACTATGCCTTGTAACAGAAACATCTCTTTTATATCGGACCACTTTAATTGGTTGTTTTTGAGAAGTCTTGAAATGAACAGTGAATCTTTTGAGCTAATGGTTCCTCAGGTCTTCTGTGTTAAAATTATTGTCTTCCCTAGTTTATGGTGGTGATTAGCTTTGCCACATTCAACCCTCCAAGTTACGGTACCTACACGTTTCCTCCATGGGCGAACATGGTGGGGTGGTGTCTTGCCATTTCCTCAATGTCCATGGTGCCTCTCTATGCCATCTACAAACTCTGCATAGTGCGTGGAAAGTTCTGCAATGTAAGTCTAAGCTTTGTGGGCATAACTAGAGGAAATGCGCTATTCTAATAGTATTATCTTTATTCTTTCATTAAATAGTATTCCCTTTTAAAATATTTTTATTTTAGTATTTTTTTTTTTTGTATTTTTTTTTTAATAATCCTTTTTCTCCTGAAACAGAGACTAGCTTATGCCATCACCCCAGAGACAGAGCATCACTTGGTAGACAACGGGGAAGTTCGGCAGTTCACAGTAAGTACTGATTTAATTTCTCATTTTTAAATCTTCAAAATTGTTTATTATTATTGCTGAGTGGATCCTCACATATCTGCATGATATATATTCATATTTGCCTATTTCGAGGTCTGTATTTTTCATACAAATGTTTGAAAAGAAATGTGAAAAAGCGTTATGCACAGAAGAATTGCTTGTTGACTCTAATGTGTTTAATTAAAAAGAAAGATTAAAAAGTATTCCCCGATGTTGTCGGACAGAGGAAAACTAATGTTTTTCTGCTGACTGAAACTGCACTTAAGCCCTTGATCAGAGCGTCCTCATTACTAATAGTCTGTTATCCTTAGCAGCGGTCTGCTAGCGAAAAAGAGCAGTCCTACAATGTTCGAAATGAACCAATATGTATCGATTATTCAACTAAGCCATGTAATAAGTGGGTGTAATGAACGATTTTGGGAAGAGGCTAATGTTTAGTTGCCTCCCGTTGTCTAAACTTTTGCACACATTTATTAGTTGTGCTTACTTACATACCATTCAAAACTGTTCTCTGTAAAGGCTTTTGATGGATTTGCAAAGTAAAACATATTCTGAAAAGTTTAATATCTGACAACTTTATTTCAAGCATATAACCATTTCCGGAAAAAATTATACTGTTTATTTCATGGGCCTATTCAATTTTCCCCACAGCTGAAACACTGGTTGGTGGTCTGAACAGTAGAGGGGGAGAGAAAGATGAAGAGAGTGAAAGAATGAGAGAGTGGACATTGGGTGGATGGATGCGAGCACAGCAAAGGTCTGAAGAACTGAGAAGAATAAAGAAATTGCCATTGAAATTGATCACAATGGTGGTGGTGGGAGCAGTTTAAAATTGCCGACAGAAAACCCATACACATTGTAGTGTACTTTAATTTAAACATTGGATATGTGAAGCTGTGCATTAAACCTCACTACCATTGAGTCGACTCTTGTGAATGGGATTCAGTCAAACAGGTAATGCAGTGTTCAGACTGCTTCCTCCATAAATACAAAACTCTTCCTGAATGGATTTTGAATTGTATTTGTCTGAGGCAAGATGAACATTACAAATATTAAAAATGCCATTCATGGTATTAGAATGAAAATGTTGAGTTACGCACATTTGAAATAGTTTGTTATGGTTATTTTCACATTTTTTATTTGTTTAATGTTGATTCATTGATTCGGAATCTGACCAATACGCAAATTGTATTTCTTTTAGATCAGAAATGTTATACCTTCCACTGTTTTCACTTAATCCCAGTCCATGTCAATGTATTGTTTATTATCTTTATTTATGTACTTGCTCTTATTGAAGACTGTTATAATACATGTGATTCCTGTAGACTCTGAAAAAAGACACTTACATTTGTTTACATCAAAAACAATGTACGTGAAGGAAAAGTTGCTACAGCAAATGCTATTAATTACAAATGAATAAACTAAAACTATGTCTGATAAAACAATACCTGAGCCTTCTCACTGAAGACTCATCATTTAAAAACTAATAGCATTGATTTTTTGGTGAAAAGGTCAGCTCCTCTTACAGTATTCATTCTTTAGATGGACCAACACACACACAATTCTACCAAGAGGAATTGGTTTTGTCAAGTGTTGGTTTTTTGTAGCATATCATTAAATCTCTAGGTGAATAAATAAATAAACAACTTTAAACAGCCTAAAAAATGTATCAGCCACATTGCTAATTTAATCAACCAAAGACTGAAATCATGTATTTTATTTTAATCAGTAGACCGCTTGATTGTTACTTTTATCACAACAGTTCAATCTATTTTCCCAATTATACATAATTAGTGTCAAAGCAGATTTCATTTGAATTTATTTGAAAAATGTTGTATGATTTTATCCCCCAAAGTTCCAGGTGGTGATTTAAAGCTATAACCATCACATTTTCAGAAAGCATAAAGCTTTAATTGTATGGGTGTTTCAAGACTGTTTTGACGAGCTTCTTTTTATTGAACTGCAGATAAATATTGTGTAATGTAATATATGAAGTAATAAAGTTATATATCTATGTGAGTAAATGTAATGTAGAGGGGCTTGTATCGTATTGTACTGTATGATATTGAATAACAAGACCAACAAGATTATATAGATATATGGATTAATAATATGTGAATGTGGAGTTAGACATTTTAACCTTAAGGATTTTGATGAGGATTACTTGAAAAATCAATATAAACTTTTTTTTTTTTCATACCTTTATTTTCTGTTCAATCATTTAAAGTCCAACTCATCATAAACTACTTGTCACTGTGTAGTACATGTAACACACTGAAGGGTTAATTGTGTCCCAAATGGTATGCTTGTGCTGCTGTACTGTGCCTTGTGTTGTTTCTGACTGTATGACTTTGTTTTGTACGGTCAAATAAAGTATAAAGAATTAAGTTGTTATATTATTAAATGTCACTCTCTCTTTTACCTTTATATTATTTTGTGTTCAATCACATTTTTTGTATCCTAATCCATCTCACACTGCAATGGTGGACAGAAGGTTTGACAGAAAGTCAACCACACATTTAAAACTACATTCTTGTAATGTGAGGCTAATACGGCAAATTAATTTTTGCATTTCATAACCATACTATCATGTTGGCTAATATGGTAAGCTTGATTCCCAAATAGAATCAAATCGGAAATGTTAGTAGAATGTTTTACATTTTCCTTAATGTTTTCCTTTTTTTAAAAACTGTAACTTTTCCAACACTTTTAGCCAAATTACTGTCATGCTGAATTACATAGTACGACACAATCTGTTCAGTACGTTTTCTTAAGAAGCTAAACAAATACTCAACAACTTATTTAACACTTTTCACCGCGATCTTTACCAAGGGGTCAATCAAGGTGTTGTGTTCAATATTAAAATATCTATAACAATGTATTCCATACAAGCAAATTGAGCCCAAACAGCCCTAATGTAGTGAAGATAATAATAATAATTGTTTTGAGCTTTAAGATTAGTCAGCATGACCCTGAATCAACAGTGTTCATTACAGTAACCAGTGATTCAAAGCTCACTGTCTCTGGGCCATTCTGAACAGAGAAAGAAACCAATATCCACAGCAGACGGCATTTGGGGATGATAACTGTCTTTATAAGCTTTTGGATTTATTGACATATTCTTAACAGTGTGTGGCCTGAATGTCATTCTTGAGTTAGGTATTTTTGTAAGGTTTATACACTGTTGACTCTTTGCAAAAACAGTCGTGGAGGACCTCTTGTTGTCCTGCAGGTGTAATATCCTACAACTATTTGCTTAGTAGTTACTTATTTTTATATTTTTTAATGCATCATATTAGTAATTTCATCCCTGACCACGGTCAAAATCAACCTGCACCATTGCCCTGCGTAACTGAGTGTGCTTGATTTGCTTAGAGCATCACACTGCAGCTGGGAAAGGGGAATCATTACATACATTTGTACTTTTGTTTGAATGATGTCCCTCTTAATGAGAGTTTTTCTTTTTATTTAAATAGTCCCTTTGTAATTCCTCTCTGTCATTCACGATAATTACCCACTCAGAACGTCTGTAATGTTGGCACACTACGGCTTTCATGGGAGAGATCAGACGAGCTGAAAATGGGTGCATTAGCATTAAGATACATTTATAGAAAACGAATATTGTTGTAACAGAAGAGACCAGATAAAATTATATTCTTTACATTCTACTTTAATTCAATTGACAATGTATAAAAGACAGAGAGTCTTTCCACCATCTGTTGACACTATCAAAGGGCTCCGGCAGATCTTTGCTTTGTGTTTTTCCAAATGTTGTCAATGTAGGACAATTGTAGAGCCGTGCACGGTTTGTGTTTAAATGGTGCCATCATCACATCCAATAAACAACAGCAATTATGTATAATTTCATGTCCTGCAACAGACGTTGAAACTGAAAGGATATACACAAGGAAAGGTGGAAGAAAATGGGATTATTTTAAGGTGCACTGCACTGTTAATATATTGACTTTGTCTTGACATTAACCAGGGTTCCATCCAAATGTAGTGCAATAAGAAGAGATTATTCAATTATAGAGCATCTGCCAAAACCAAAATGGTGGGGGAACCTTTTATAGAACAAGATGTAAATTGGCCTTTATCTTTGTTATGTGTTTTTTCATTACTAAAGATCCACTTGTTGAACCCCGCTTTAATGAACTTTAAGATTTCTGTTTGAATACAGTTATTCAGTTTCATCAGCAGTTACTTTGAGCTTAGATGACCATGTCATTTAGGAAAAGAGATAGGACAGTACACCATAATGTCATTTCCATTTTTGTGTATTTGTACTTTCAATTCAAATGACTAAGATAAAATAAGATAAGATGGACCTTTATTAATCCCCGTGGGGAAATTCAGTTGTACAAGCAGCAACAGGGTAAGCGTGAAAAACAGGACAGCAAAGATTCACACAGATTAATAAAATAAAAAATTAAATCAAGAAACAAATTAAAATAATAATGATAACAATAATAAAAGACTATGAAATAGGAGATGAGTACAAATAAGAGTAAAATAACTGTCAGCATATATACATATTTGGTCATCTAAATTATGAAGTACGAAATGAGTTAGTCACAAGTGAAAAGTGAAAACTAACATATTCTGTACATATAGTGACATATCTATCTACATATTTGGTCTACTTCTAATATATTAACATGGACTATTTGGGGGGTTTAAACTTGCTTTTAAGGTTCATAACAAAATGTATGTTATCTCAAAAGAAAGGTTGCAGGCCGGGGTCAGGCATTTCGTTGTAAAGGTTAGGGCAAGGGGCTAGGAAGGCCTGATTTCAACTGGGGTCCCCAGTATAGCAGTACAAGGTTGTGTGTTGAACAACTTGCAAGGCTTTTTTGGTTTTACACTGCCCTCTACTGACAATACACACTTACTACACATCACTTGATATGCAAATGAATACTTGTGCAGTCATCATCACATATCACAACAGTCAAAAGTTCATACAACACCCAAGATGCCTTAGTCAAATTATAAACACCTCTTTGGTTTATCTTTGCCAAAGAAACAAGAGAATGTTTGTCAAGTTATTGGGTGTTTATCATAGTTCAACTAATGCATAAACTGTAAATTCATCTTATTTATTTTCTCTTCAACTGTGGGATGTTGATAGCCCAAATACAAATGAGAAATTATTACACTTTAAAACTAAATCAAAATAGTTCAAGTAAAATACAAGCTACAATATTTTCTGTACCACCTGTGTACAAGATACGGTAATTAGTCATTGCTAAACATCCGTGAGTTTCAGGGGCATGACACAACCAATGCCTCTCCATTTTGTCTAACACTATACAAAAATACTAAACTCCATACAAATATTAAATAGATCCATAGCTTTATCTGCAGCATCTTATGCTCTCAATCAAACAATACAGTTCAGGTAGACAGAGCATCAATCCATTAACTGATTTAAGATGAGTAACTCTTTCTAAAAGCACGACTGCTCTTCAGGATAATATTGTAATGCCAATTTGCTGTTTTATATTTTGTAATATGTGACTATGCAATTAACAGTTCAATATGTTCTTCAAACATATTATCTTTAGATACTTCCCTGCTAAAAAAAAAAGTATTGTTCTCGCACTTTAAATACAATGGCACCATCTTGTGGGCTCATGAAAGAATCACATAGTGCAGAGGGAAATATTAGCATTAAGGACACTGGAAAACAAACAAGTTTAACATTAAGGACACTGGAATAAAACATAAAAAACAATAGCAACAACTAATGAATCCATACTTGTATATAATAAATACACATGTCTTATTTTGATGGAAAATAAAACGTGCCACTAATAGTAATAAATAAAAAGGAAATGAAGTTCAGATCACATTTGTACTGTTGTCACGCAACACAATTAAAGTACACACAACAAACATGTTTTTTGTCCCACTTTTGGGATGTCACCCCGGGGTTTCCAATTGGTCTATTGATGCCCAATTAACTTGCTCACATGGCTGTTGCAGTTTCACACAGCCTTACACGCGTTTATTTCCTCTGTGCACATAGCTCTTCGTGCATCTTTGATAATGTTTGCTACACACCGACAGTATGCAACGTTATGAAATATATACATAAATGTTTACCTCATTAGTTAATGATTGACTACCTGTTAATAACGGCTGCATGAGGTCCCTGGTAATCGTTGAGGGAGATAACAGCGGCGTGTTCCCATAGATACGTCCCAACAGATGAGCTCCCATGATGCCCAGCCTACATAGACCTGTGTGACTTTTTAACTCCACCTGCTGCGCAGAGGTGCACGGGAAGCGAATAACTCAGCACCCAATTCCCTCTGTAGCCGAAGGAGATGCTGCAGACATATGGATTGTTCACATTTATAACACAGGCACATCAACTGCTGTATGCATGTGCTCATATTTTATTAATTCAGTAAGATCCTTCTTTGAACGCCTCCGTGTCCAAACTGCTGCCCTCCTCGTGGATCTGACATCGCGTGCAGCCCCACTCAACCCTAGACATTTGGCCAGGATGGAGCACCTCTAATGTTATTATAATGGCCTGTAAGCGTTTGACGGGGGATCAACCTATTGTCAGTTTATCATAACAAAGATTATCTCCGTCACGTTCTCTGCTTTTACGCACAACGATGGGCTCGGAGAAGCCAAACTTTCTTTCCCAGCCCGTGGTGAAGAACATTTTCATGTACCGGAACGGCGACCCTTACTACGATGCTCGCCGGATAGTGATCAACCATAAGAGGGTGTCCAACTTTGAAACTTTGCTGAGAGAGGTGACCGGCGGGATACAAGCCCCGTTTGGAGCGGTGAGAAACATCTACACACCGAGAGGAGGGCACAAGGTGGACAGCTTGGAGAGCCTGCAGAGCGGGGAGCAGTACGTCGCTGCTGGGAGGGAGAGATTTCGAAGACTTGAGTAAGACTTGACTTGCATTTGGCTTAATAAGTACAGTCAAATATATTTCTCAAATGAGTCTTTACATAGGCATATATATTGTGAAATGTTTAATACAATTATTGGTGACCAGATTCAATCCATTTACAGTTATAATCCAATGCACACACTCAATCAGCTATGTCTAAATACACAATTTGTAGTCACTCAACATCAGACCTGTAGTCGGACATGGTCTTGGAAGTTTTTGTGACACAACAGTTTTGTCCCACGCCGACTCACAACATGGTGTAGATGGGATCAGCACTTCAGAGCAGGGTACTCTGCTCTAACCTAAAAATAAGTGGATTTATACTGCAGATAATGAGATTTGTGCAGCGAGTTATTCATGGTGTGAGGTGGTGAATCAGATCAGGTGCAAGGTATTAAGGGGACATTACGTTTGTGTATTCTCACCATGCTCTTTGCCATGTGTAGATATTAAAATGACCAGTAAAAGACATGGCTATCTTATCTGCTGCTGAACTGATCGGACATGCACTCAATATTAATCATGTTGTTGCTTTAATACCCAGATAAATTGGGTTCTAAAAGTATTTACTAGATAACAATGAAATTACAATTAACAGCACTTTTTATTCACAATAAGCAGCTTCCAGTGGTGCAAAGTCACTTATTATAGTATTGCACTAGAACTTTGAAATATGTGTAATTAAATGTTCTGCTCCTTTATATTTTTACTCCACCACAGGAGGAATGTCTGGATGTCTGGATGTAGTTTCTGATTACTTTAAAGATAAAGGAAAAACCACATGCTAATCCTACAAGCATTAACATATTCTAGTCCAATATATATTTGAGGAAAATTCCTAATTCCTAGATACATATTGTAATATTTCTTAGTTTGTGAATTACAGAGTACAGAGTTAGGAAATCAGTGAGCTGTGCATGATTCATTGAGGCTAACTTGAGTTTATGTTTTTTTTTTCTGTAGTTACCTACAGATTGGCTCAAGAAGGAAGAGGATGATGCAGACTCTTCCAATACAGGTAAGGCAAACCTTTTATAGTAAGCACATTTTTGTGTGTGTATTTGTATATCATTTGTTAAAACAGTCAAGAAAGCTAAGGCAATTATTTTTTCTTTTTTTTAAGGTAAGGCCCTATTAAAGGAATGTAGTACCTGAAGCTACTGTAACATCAGTGTGATCACATGTTGCTTTAAGATTTTAATCATAACGATACAATCCCCCAGATCAAATTTGAATGCCATATTTCAAATGTTTTGTTTTAGTGACTCTCTATTAAGAGAGAAGTGTTGTTAGAGAAAAGCAAAGCCTTTTTGTTAACGCCTGGCATTTCCAATCTGCAAAATTGTTGGCATCATATTATAAACACAATCTGCAGAGATGGAACCTGTTTACATAATTTACATCGTCCTGCCAATCACCTACAGTGTTGGGGTGTGGTACATTACCACATGCCCTTGCCAGAGAAGGTCCTCAGGTTCCACTTCACCTCCTGGTCCCTTACTTTTAGAAGTGAGAAGAACCAGGGGCCTGACTTGACCGCGTCTGTCAGTCCCTTGCTAATTACCTTGTACACAGTGGACTGGACAACATCTTACCATTGAGCCAGCCTGTGCCTGACAGAAATACAGTACAAAGTCTTAGTTGGACACATCAGCATTGATCACTCTGAACATGTTTGAGACGCGTTTCTTTATTCTCAGTTTAAGGCTTTGTGAACTCAGTTAAGGTTAAGTAGTCCCATACAAATAAATAACTATAGCGTAGACACATTTTTTTGAATGGCATTATTTTATGCATTATTTGTTATCAGAGATTGATGAAACCCTTCACCAGCTAGTGTTTCAGTTGCTCTTTACTCAATCCAACTTTTTTACATTTGAAACTGCCACAAGATTCATGAGGATTCACCCTTGTCTGCCCCCTCCCACTGTGTAAAGGTTTAAGAAAGATAATTTAAGCAAGGTGTTATGTTAAGCATCTCTTTCTCTTTGTCTGCTGCGAATAATCACTTTATTGCTGTCTCAATGGCCATGCATTATTGATTTATGGATCATAATCATCCCTTCTTTCAATGCACCAGCTATGAAGTCAGAGAGCAACTTAAAACCCAGTTTTAGGTTGCATTGTTTCTGTTTTTAAAGTTGATTTAAAGTCATAATGAAATGTCTTCTACGGAAGGCATTACCAACCTATATTTCCTCCATTCACATTAGAGTGTGGCTTTAGTCAGAGACAACAATGGACCCTTATAACGTTTTCTTTGTCAGGTCTTTCTCTGCAGCCCATGATTTTCTATGACTTTGTCCTTTAGCCACAAACAGCACTGTAACATGTTAATCATACAAAGTGAATCAGGAAATGCTCTGCTCTTGATTTCGTCTTATCACCCAGTGTAAGCTCACTCATCAAAGATAACCTCAAGGGCTTGTTGTTGCTGCTGTGATTATGTGGCGAGCATAAAAAGAGCCAATTTATTTGACAAGGACCCTGCTTCCCCCTCACTACCCCACTTACAGTAACCTGCCTGATTGTGTCGATTAATGATGAGAACTCTCAGCCGGCTGGATGGTTGGTAAGCCGGTTTCTTGTCCTTATTGATTTTGAAGCATTATAGGAAGGACTAATTATAGGAAGGTTACTGCCTCAGATGAACCCATTCTGTACGTGGCTTTTTATTAATGGTTGACCGACATGGCTTAACAATGGCCAATATCAATATAGCAGGGCGGCCGATAAGTGATACATGTTGCTGATGTATTGTTGTTCTTTAAATTATTTTAATCTGATAACATTACAAGAATTCGATTTTAAAACTCCGACAAATATTTGCTGAATGTAAATGAACATTTTATTAACACTGTTACTGACTGCACTGTCTGTTTGTTAAAGTACATCTGAACTTTGTCAACCCTCCTGTTATCCTCAGATTTACTTTCCACCCTTTATCCTCTGGGGTCAATTAGACCCCAGTAGTTTAAAACTCAAGACAATGATCATATTCCAAATGTTAACCAACATGTATGTCTCTGGTGCTTTAGGTATCTTAGTTGACTACCGAAATAACCATTTAAATAAAACATTACCCCAACCTTCCCCCCCACAGACCCCTTTATACATCCAGAATTCCTATTATGTGACTTTCGAAAAATATATAAATCACCATAAAATCTCACTGACTGAAATAAAATGTTAAAGTAAGATCTTTTTGATGTTGTTAAAGGACCAATAACTAAAGCAAAGGGTAGGTTTTTTTTTACAATGATACATGTGCATGTAATAGTCACCTCAATATCATCCTACACAATCAACACAAATATGCGCAAAATATTGACATTTTTATATGTTTTATACTACTAAAACAGCCTGGGGTCAAATTGACCCCAAAGAACACCAATTCGTACAAAGTGCGTACAGGACCTTTAAAAAAGGTCTTCATGTTCATTTTATGTTTATCCATTAGTCCTCACTAAATTACGAAAAGTCATGAAATACTAAGCAAAATAAATAATGTGAACCATTTTTTCAAATTGACCCCAAGGATAACAGAAGGGTTAAGAAAGATCCATAAGTAATACAAAATAAAAACTTTGTACATGAAACATTGGAACGAAAACAAAACGATTATTATAAAGGTGTGTCATCATTACCGATGTATTTGGGAGGGGAGATGCACAGACTGAAAGTCTTGGAAACAAGCAAATGATGTAGAGAGAGAAGAAAAGAGACAAATGAGACGGAGTGACCCCGTAACTGGAGATTCTCCCTCTGTTTTCATTGAGTCTTAGTAAACTGGAAAGCAACGGTTTATAAAATGAGCTGAGGGGGACCTTTCCAGCTGTGAAAATCAAAGATCATATGCTTACAAAATGCAATGTACTTTTCCAGTTCTTTTAATGGCTCTCTAGAGAGTAAGCTAGCTGTGCTTGTTTTCTGTTTATTCCTTGCTGCGATTGGTAACTAGCTATGCGGCTTATTCTAGTCTCTGTGGTTTGGAGTACACCTCATAGTTACAAGTGTGTGTGTGTGTGTGTGTGTGTGTGTGTGTGTGTGTGTGTGTGTGTGTGTGTGTGTGTGTGTGTGTGTGTGTGTGTGTGTGTGTGTGTGTGTGTGTGTGTGTGTGTGTGTGTGTGTGTGTGTGTGTGTGTGTGTGTGTTGTATTAACTTGCCCACCCTCTGACCAATCAACTTCACGCTTGTCGTATGTCACCCGAGGAAGTGCAGTGGCGCATATGAAGTTATTTGTATTATATTAGCGATTGTGTAGAAAACTGCATAGAAATATGATCTGCCAGGTCAGAGTTTGTTTAGTGCTTGCGCTTAGCCTTAAAAAAGTGATCCAATGTGCATCAGAATCCTTTTAACAACACGTCCACTAACAGTAGGACATCCTGACCTTGCAACTTGTTACTCCTATATTACTGAAACTATATATCACACCTTGTTATTCTGAAGTACGATTTTGAATTCCACTTCTTCTACTTGCCTTTACATTTCTGTCGCCAGGGTGCACTCCCAGGCCCCCGGCAGACTTTTAATATACCTCCATCCTTATCTCTCTCTCTGTCAGAAGATCCACAGCTTAGTCTCAGAGTCACAGGTTACCGGCGTTATGGGACAGGACCTGCAGTGCTCACTCTATGCAACCTCCCAACCTCAAAGGATTAAAGAGGCCTCATTCTTTTGCTGTGACATTGATCGGAGATAGAATATTTCGGTGTCTACAAAATCTTTTTATCTTTGCCGTCGGGGGTTTAAGCTTTTGATTTCACACAATCTTGTTTTTTCTACTGTGTATCTCTCAAAGCAAAAGGAAAGAAAACAATATGCATATGTAGTTTTAATAGTATATACATTTTTTTTAAATAAATATACATATTATTGTCTACAATTAACACATTGTGCTCCTTGAACCTGCTACCACAGCAGGAGGCGTTGATTCTCGAGCAGAATTAGCCTTGGCGACTGTCCTGACATGAACAGCTATATTTAGGAGCTGCAATGCTGTGTTACCAACAAGAATATCAATATTGACCTCTGAGTTAGCGCTGGTCCCAAAAGCAAGAGTCCCTAAAGTTCGCTCTGTATGTTTTTCTTGATCTCCGCTGGGAAACAAGTGGTGTCCTTAAATCCCAACTGGACACAGAGCTGCAAACACGCTTTTGAAGCATGTTGTATTCCCAGTCATCAGACATACAGTATATTATGGACATTTCCTTTTACCTTTAGCCCTTTGCCCATACCAGATGTATACTGTATGTGTGCTACATCATCTTTATTGATCTATGAGCAGCTGTAGGTTTGAAATATTTTACTCTTAATTTTATCACTCATTTGTAGGCCAAACCAACTCCACCGAATCGTATCGTTGTGTCAGCTCGATTCCTTAAACCCATCAAGGAGCCATGTACAATATTGTAAGTTACATTTTTCCCCTTCATTTTAACTATGTTTTCATTGTGCTTTATTACAATACCATATAAAGCCTAACATGTAAAGAACATCAGAAAATGTTTACACTGTAACCCAAGTGGTAGGTAATGTCATGGACTGCTTAGTCCTAATCTCATAGGATGCATTTGAACTTTAAGTGATACCATTGACTTTACTACGAGGGGTATACTTAACAAGGGAAACCATTCTGTATCAATGTTTTATTTAAATGTTTTGGTTCTCTACTTAGTGTAGTAGCAAATGGCGATGTCTTGAACCCCGCCATGAGGCTGTTGATCCACCAGAGGATACTCGGCCAGTTTGAAAGAGTTCTCGAGGTGATCACAGAGAAGATGGGCATGAGAGTCCTGGGGGGTATCCGAAGGTACAGCTACAAATATAATCACACTTTACATATGGATTGTATTGGTTCCCATGATATAATGTTTTTCTTTACCTGTAAGCAAAAGCTCCAGGGCAATAAAAGGTTTCCAAACTCACACTGCATGTTTATTACCATAGCAGATCTTATTAGATTGTGCTGCACAAATTGACATAGAACTGAAAAAAGGGACTTTTGTTAAAGCTGCCTTAAGTTACTAATGTTACCATATAGGTTTTTGAATGTAATGTGTTATACAAAAACAGTGTGTTGACATACAGGAACAGTATTTCCTTGTTAATATTTTATCATCTTAATTATTCAAATCTGTCCAAATGAGGATTATCGGAGCTTCTCGTTTTGAAAAACTGTTACCAACATTTAATGGAAACTTTGGGGCTTTTGGCTTTGTGTCTTTATTCCAGTCTCTACACTTACGAAGGCCACCAGGTGACTGATGGGAATCAGCTGGAGTGTGGTCAGCTGTATGTGGCTGTGGGAAGAGAACGATTTAAGAAGCTGCCTTACAGTGATCTTCTCTTGACCAAACCCAGGGCGATAAGGAGGGTCAATGGGTAAGCACTGCACTTTAGAAATTATCCTTAAAGTGGACCTATCATGCTATATTTGAATAATATGGTGTAGGACCATACCTATATAAGGCATATTTATACTTTTTATTTTTCAAAATACCAAACAGATCATGCATTTTAGCCATTCCTCATTTCGCTCAATTTAACACTGTCTTTGCATGGGCTGATTCTGTGAGAACAGCACCATCTACAGGCCTGGCATATGTACTACAGCGTCTCCAGCGCTTTCAAATGGCAATGTCCGTGGCTGTCTCCTCCTGATTGGTGGAGTTGGCCCAATAGCCGTAGCGCCACTTCTGTGACGTCATAGAAGTGTTCAAATCTGGATCAGTCTGTATCAGATCAGTTGCAGCCCCTTTTTAAGAGATTTGGGTATGGAGGAAAATAGAGATGGTTGTGTTTTTCTGACACTTGGTGAGTTCCCTGGAACACCGGGGACACATATTCATGTATAAAAGACGTACAAAAGTGCATTTTGCATGATAGGTCACCTTTAAATAATATGTTTTCTAAATCTACACCCTTTTATACTGTTATCAACCTTCTCAAACAATCAAATATAAACATTCACTACATCTTTAAATCCCCTAAAACAACTGTATACAGAGCCTAGTATTGACCAATGATACACAAGATTAAGTATTGAGATTCCACTGTCCTCTTTGGAAAGTTATGGCAATGCCTCTTGGAGACCATTCAGTTTGTGTTTGTCAGTTTTACAGTGTGGCAACTAATGACTCCTCCAGGGCTAATATCTGCTTTCTACTGAAACATGCATCCCTCAGCTCCAAATAGCATTTGACTTGATTTCTACACCGTAGAAATTAACAAGTTCACAAGGGAACTGTAAAATAGTTCACATGCACATACAGTACACAACGCTCTTCAACAAGCTTTGTTCGCATTATTGGAAGTAATTATACGTTTTGTACATCTCTTTATTATCAGATAATATACAGTGCAAGGTTTTAAACCTCCAACTTTTTATTTTCAGACAAGCTTTAGTTATATTGTGGTTACAAAAAGAGCATAGCTAGTTTGAACTGCCTTTGTTTATAAATCCGAGCTGTAAGGAAGACACTCAGTATCCTGTATTCATTATAGTGAAATCATCTTGGTTTGCAGAACAAAAGCTTACTCTCTACCACCGATCTACAGGTTCTCCAAGCAAAATGGAAATGTAAGCATTGCATGTGCATTTCCATTGAATGTATCTGACTATTTATTTAGTTGTGTTTCTAATTGAAATAAACGAATCAAATGTTTTCATAGCTGCACCTTTCATAGCTTTTATAACCCAACTGACATATAAATATTTATCACAGCATTCTTAAACATTCACAGAAGAGAGGGAAGTATTAGATTTGCTGTATGATTTAGTTTTCCTTCAAATGTTAAAACTCAGCCTAGTTCAAGGATGTGTATTTTTCGGCCTTGTTGTTTGAATGCTTACTGAAGACATTTATTATGTATCCATCCTTTAATATTTATAATACAATTAACTTCAAAGGTTAAACGAGCATTCATGCCAGGGAATGGATGACACAAACAGATAATGCTTGAACAGCGTATTCGGTACATTTCTAGTCCATGTACTTTTATTTCTAGTCATTTTTTTCAAGTTTCTCCTCAGCTTAACTCGACTTGTTTGTTTCTCCAGAGTAAGACTGTGGTGCGATGCAGTAATAGTGGAGGTGAAGGGTCCAAGATTTCTCTTCCGGGCCTCAACGGCAGCAGCAAGGATCATCTGTCCTCCATCGTGAGAGAGATTTCCCAGGCCAGACTCATGTCCCTCAGGAAGAGGAGGAGTGAACAGAGCGAGACCCTCGGCATCGCTGACAATGGTAATGCAGGAACAAACACAACATTAGCAATTCAATAGTACAATATACCTGCTTATTCAGATAAGCTAATCTTTGTTGTGATTTGTTGAATCATGCAGCGAACAGAAATAAACCAGCACCAGTAATGCAATTCAATTTAACCCTAAGAGTTTTAGAATAGTTTACAGAAAAGCTTATAAGAGAAAATATACTCATCAAATTCCTTAGTTTCCTTAGTTTCTCAATGTTTGGTGGAAATAGCTATTTTGCCTATTTCACTATCATTTAAGTGATTTAGAATCTGTTCATATAAGTACATGTTAAAATATATGTGTTATATATGAATTAAACAGCTATTTGCACTCACCCTAGATACTGCAATAGTTTGTCACATTTTTACCAAAATTCCCTAAAGGGGTCACCAAAACATGTCACATGTTGTATCCTCCTAATCATTCATCCTTTTGTTATGTATCTGCATGTGCTATATAGAGTGGGATAGAGTATGCGTGTCATCTGATTGTAAGACCAAGAACATGCTTGGTTAAAGGACACTTTTTACACAGTGTGAGAATCTAACATTTTTAATATCTGTATTTTCGGTATTATTTTACGACCACACGTTATGTTTGGGCAGTACAAGCATATAACAAAGCAGCAGTAAATCACCAGAATAGATCACTAGCAGTAAATAAGTCGTATAAAGAGAGGCAGAACATTACTCAAAAACTCAAAAACTATATTGTCTATTGCTTTTTTACAGATGGGGTCATACGAGACTCAGATATATGATGTAATGCATGTCCTTTAAAATCTTATGTAACCTGCTTTGTTCTTAAATGCCCACACAGTGGCACTGTTGCTCTGCAAGAAATACAGCCGATATATAGAAAGTAGGTCTAGCATGATGACATTAACTACTATTCCAAGAAACACATTACGTCATCTTCTGGTTTTATGATCAGTATATTATAATGTCCTGCAGAAACTCCAATCTTTGCTTTTTCTTTACTCATTGGCAGCTGGCAGTTTTTTTAACATTGGGATGTGTTTTGCTCTGGGACTCTAACAGATGTTTACCAAAGATACTATATACACATTGAAAATAACACTGAGAGGGAATTACAAATGTTTGCTTTCCTTATTAAAAAAACAGATTTACTTTTACAGTTAAAGGGATTTGGATTGTCTGCAGACTGCTGCTGACCTTATTATAACTCCTACTGCGGTATTGAAGCACCATTACGTCATCTGGTGGCTCATGATAGATGTTGCCTGTTTGCTCTTCTGGCAGGAGAGTTGACAGCAGAAGCCCAGAGGAGCGTGGAGAATTGTGTCTGTGGTTCAGGGGAGCTGGCATTTTGCATCAAAAGAGAGGGATGAGGAATGTGTGTGTGCGTGTCTCTCTTGTCCGTGTGTATTTGAAACCTGTAATGTCACCCTCAAAAATCCTCCGCGGATCAGACTGTGTGGCATGTCGTATTACAGGCAGAGCGAAAACATGTTGCATTATTGGTCCCCTTGGGTGACATTGACCATAGATTAAATTAACAGACAGACAACTCGGAAAACAAGATCAGGCATTAGTAGAAGATCGTTTGAATAGCTTGGAGAGCACATGACGTTCTCATGCACCCTTCACCGTTTGACCTTTGAAGCCCTTTTGTCTCCAAATGCTGTCATGTTAGGAAAAAACATTTATATACTTGTCTTGCGGGATAGCTGCTACAGTACTGTATGTGTAGTGTGTGTTTTGTAATCTGGGCATGGCAGTGTGTCTCTGTCCATGGTGCTGATAACACTAAAATACAGTATAATGAGGATTCCCAACCATATCCTCTCTCTTTGTTTAGCCCAAGGCAAACAGATGCTAAAATGCTATTTCGCTTCTCAAAAGCAAGCAAGAGCCGAAGATTACTTCAGTAACCATTAGCTGTTATGGTTGTGGTCATGTTTGTGCAGTTCAGCTTAGGGACACAGTATTCATACCACCTTTGTTTAGTGATTCACCGCAGCACAGAGGTGTGTTTGGTGTCATCAACCCTTTGGGGAATCCTGGCCTGGCTGGCTTTGAGGTAAACACTTCTAAATCTGGAGCCAAAAAGGAAAGCAGCCAAAAAGTTGTCTGATTGGCAGAGGCTGTGGAAAGAACACAGCGTGAAACCCACACTTCAGATCTCTGAGGTTGTGTGCTGGAACATTGGAATGAAAACAAAACGATTATTATAAAGGTGTCATGTCATTACCGATGTATTTGGGAGGGGAGATGCACAGACCGAAAGCCTTTGAAACAAGCAAATGATGTAGAGAGAGAAGAAAAGAGACAAATGAGACAGTGACCCCGTAACTGGAGATTCTCCCTCTGTTCTCTGCGGACTCTGTGACACCGAGGCTAGTGTGTGTGTTTGTGTGTCCGTGTCCATGTGTGTGTCCATGTGCCCGTGTCCGTGTGTGTCCGTGTGTCCGTGTCCGTGCTCCCCATTATTCACTGTCTATCAGCTGCTGGAAGCCAGACTGAGGACAGCTCCAGCAGTTTGTGTCTGCTGTATTGTAAAGCTTCTGACTTTTCTGCTTCATTAGAGTGAACACAGTGGTGAGTGACAGCAGAGACAGTGGGGGGACAGTGTGACAACTCATGCAGCAAAGGTCACGGAATGAATGTGAACTTACTATAACAAAGACATTTGGCTTAAAAGACTTAACCAACAAGATGCATTGCATGTCGTACGCTTCACCCGACACTGGTATACTTTATGCAAGCCTTTTTTAAATTCAGTAAATAATCAGCCGGATTTATCCAGTGATCAAAACCACATTCATGTTCATGTTACCAATCAGCAGTTGTTGCTAACCTCAAAAATAGAAATAGGATGTTTATCAGTGTTCTATTTCTTAAAGGGCCTTTGTGACCAGTTCAGATGATTGCTCCCTTTAGGAAAAGGGAGAGAAAAGAGAAAGGAGAAAGCAGGAATGGAAAATGAATAAAAGATAAAAGAAAGAGGAAAAGAAAGAAAGAGGAACATATATGTTTGGGCAGGGATATAGGAGGGAGAAGAGGGAATAAAAGGTTGAGATGACGAAGGGGGGAGGACATTAAAAGGAAGGAGAAGAGTACAGGTGGAATCAAATGGTAAGTATGATGAATAGCCTGAGATGGTGGAGCGTGAGCATTGAGTGGAGAGAAAAAGCCACAGAGATATTGAAGGGTGTGGTTTGGATAATTGCCTTTCATTTGGATAATCTGTCCATTTAGAGTCATCAAAGCAGAATTGTACTTGCCTCTGCCCCTTGCTGGGGCCAAATTGCTGCTTTGAAAATCAACAAAAGAGCCTTGCACTTCAAGAAGGACGGACAGACAGGAAAGTATGGACTAGAGGAGAGAGAGGAAAGGCAGAGAGAGAAAAACAGCACAACACAATGAGAAGAGAAGGAGGTCTTCTGAGTACTTGGACTCTTATATCCATTATATATGCCTCTGTGCATTCATTAGGAAGGAGTTGAAAAATATGCAACATTTAGTGTATGTCCTTCTCATTGTGCACCTGATTGGCATCTGCGAAAATAATCATCTTTCTTTCTTTTTCACTGCTTTCCCGTATTTAAAAGATTATAAATGGGCCCATCATTAATAAAATAGACAACATGCTGTATTAAAGAAAACTCTAAACTAGCGATTGAGACCAAAAACCTGTTGGACATTGATAACTGTGGTAATACATCAAGTGTGAAGTACTGTGATTTTCTCGTTGACTTCTATACAATCAGATTTATTTTTGTTACCAGTGGAGTCGCCCCCTGCTGGCGAATAGAAACAATGCAGGTTTAAGACTCCTCGCATTGGATTTACTGTACTATAAATGAAATGTCTGCCATAGAAGAAAGGTTCCATGTATGTTACGCTATGGGATATCATTGGAAAACAAAACATCTTAAACTGATTCAGTTAATAGTAGATTTTACATCAGCAAGAGATTGGAGACACACACCCGAAGGCCTTCTCCCTGCATTCTCTCACAGACGCACACACAACAAGCATTTTAATATTTCACATGTACAATCTCAATACTTCAGTTTGGTTTTTACTGCAGTTACTTATACTTTCACATTTCTTTGAAATAACACAGGGTCGTCCACTTTACAGAAAACCTCTTGCTCTGAATAGCTACCAATTTTTCATGCACAAAGCGGCATAATTTAATGTAGCAAGACCGAATGCAATTTATTTCACACACGTGGCCGACTTTATGTGCATTCCTGTCAATTTCCTTGAATGGACTTTGATTTGAAGTCAAGGTAGCTGTGGTAAACTGAAAAATGAAACATTCTTGGTATTATTTGGAAGTTGAATGTGAGAGGAATGAAGGAGCATCTGTGAGCATGTGTGTGTGTGTCTGTGTGTGTGTCTGTGTATGTGTGTGTCTGTGTGAGTCTGTGTGTGTCTGTGTCTGTGTGTGTGTGTTTATGCGCAATCCATCCAAGCCAGATCAACTTTGTGCCACTGGTGTCATAAAATGTGATGCTGCCTTGGGGAATTAGCCTTGTTAGCATATGTATTTATAATGCCTGTCAGAGTGAAATAGGGTTCAAAAGCGCGTAGGGAGGCAGGAGACATGAGCACAAAGAGGCTGTGTGTCTGAATTTGTTTGCCTGTGTCAAAAAAAAGGAGCTCAGCAGCGAAGGATGAGAGATGGCAACATTTAAGGGAAGATTTTCTTCTTGCCAAGTTCTTGGAAAGTGTTGGTTGTGAGCACTGCTTTAAAGTGTTAATATGTGGGTTTATGCGCATGTCTGTTTTTATGTGACTTTGTGCAAACGCTCTCATGTCACATTTCAGACAACGCGGCCATCTTTCTCAATCCCCTCCTTCATTCTTCCTCTCCTTTCATCTTCCCCTTTTCACGACATCTGAAAAAGGTTCTTGGTGACCCTTTGATGCAGGATTACTGGATTAAAGTGCAGGGTAGCTGTACTAATCTGCCACATTAATCTGATAACAAGTGTTTCAGTTGTGACATACAACA